AAAATGAAAATTTTGTGGAATAGGATTATGCCTGAACTTTTTTAATGCTAACCGACGCTGTGCTACAGCCTTAGACAGTTCGGTTGACCAGTAGGGTTTTGGTGAAAAATTTGAGAGGGGATTAGTATTGATTTTATAAAACGGAATGTGCAGATCTGCAGCTACATACAAACTGTCAATGAACATATCATAAGATTCCTGCAACACGTCCGCGACAGCTAAATTTGAAAATAGTTCATCGAGCAAAGCTGTATAAGAATTCCAGTCAGCTTTTTTATAATTCCTTTTTACATTCAAACCAATAGATTTATTTATTTTAGATGTAATCTTAATTACTTGATGGTCACTTCCTAAAGTTTCACCAAGAACTGCAAAATTCATCCGTAGAGCTATATCGGAAGAAGCTATCGATAGATCGGGAGATGACTGCTGTAAGTTGCCGTTAACATATTTTAATCGAGTCATATTACCATCGTTCAATGTAATAAACGCGTTGTCCATCAATGCGTCAAAAATTTGGACACCTCTTTGGTTGATTTTTGTGGACCAATTTGTGTGATGGCCATTAAAATCACCCAGTAACAAAGTTTTATGCTTAAAACGGGAGAATAGGTAGTCCCAATCACTATATGCCGTATTAATAGATGGAGGACAATATAAAGAAATAATGTTTTCAATAAAATTACAATTGTGTAGCTTAATACCTACAATTTCAATTCCTGCGTTAAGACACGTCATTGGTATGGTGTGTGCATGAATGGATTTATGAGTGACTATGGCAACTCCTCCGTATCCGTCACTTCTGTCTACCCTAAAAATATTGTAACCATTTAATTTTAAACTATCTGAAGGCCGGAGCCATGTCTCACTTATAGCCGCAATATGAATCTTCTCCTGTGACAATAAGCTTTCAAAAGCTGTTAATTTTGGATTAATACTCTGTGCGTTCCACTGAATAATGTTCAAAGGTATTGACTGATTATGTCTAGCCATTAAAGTAATCTAATAAGTTTTTCAAGATCGGCCAATCGGAGATATTTTCTACTACGACTAACATTAACCACTCTATACAACTTTTCACTATATTTTGTATTTTAATATGTAACGATTGGTTTTTCAAAAATAATATATTTTTTAATCTAGTTAAAAGTTCTTCAAATGTTACTTCTCTCTCTTTCACTGATGTTATTGGGGGTGAAGATGATGCAGAGTTGTTATTGAATTTGTCCTGAGTATCGCTTCCTTGTGGGAACGGCGTAGATGGACGAGCTTCTTTGTGCCTAAGCAGATTGGTCTTCTTTCTAATAGGTTTAGGTTTTAGAACAGAAGCATAAGTTTGACTCCTTTTGTTAGAGGGCTCTTCATCTTCATACTCAATCATGCCATGAGACGAACCATCTATATTTTCAACAAAAATAACTGGTTCTATTGTTGGAATAGGTGAAGTTGGAGGTACGTAAATAGTAAGTGCCCTTTTATATGTACAATTAAATTCAGCCATCAACTGTCTAATATTTTTTTCTTTAATAAACTTAGGACACGTTCTGTCTAAGGCCATATGAGGTCCCGAACAGTTAATGCATTTAAATGTTTTCGTCTCACAATTAGGGTGATTATTACCACATTTAGGGCAAACAGTTTTTTTTGCAGAACAGTATTTGAATATATGCCCGTATTTCCAGCATTTTGAACACTGGGAAACTGGGAAGACGTATTTTTCAACCTTTATACTTAGATTATTAACCAAAATATAAGTGGGTATAAATGAGCCCTTGAAACATAAGCGTATAGTTTCACAATCACTCCATCCTCCTTTGTCTGTATTGCGACGCATTAGACGTTTTACCGATATAAGCACTGCCGGGCTAGGACAAGAAATAGCACTTAAAATCTCTTCTTCAGAAATATTGACCTCAATATCCCTAATGATGCCATACGATATATGTTTTTCTGTAGACTTCTGTACCCTCCAACCCTTCTCTAATAAAGTTTCACAAGTTACCAACTTATTTGCCTGTATTTCATTGGCACAGTCTATTCGGACTTTAAATGGGTTGATATATTTTACCCTAGCAACATCTGTAACGTGGAGTTCGTCTAATATCTTTGCGAATGCAAACTGTTTAGGTAACTTTTCATTACTTGAAATGTATAATTGAATACTACCCTCCTTTAATTTTTTTTCTTTAGAACCAACTACAGTCCATTCTTCTTCTTCTCGTTGTCTTTTTGCCGATTTAATTTGTGTGTCTTCATCCATTTTATCTGTTTGTGTACATTCAACTAATCTTCTTTCGTCTATTTCCGCAATTTCATTGTCCAATAAGGACTCATTAAAAATTGTGTTATCATCTACATTTGTTGCATTTAGTTGCTTATTCATTTACAGGTAAACAAATAGAAATGTTCATAATTACGATTGAGCAGGTTGAATTCCACTGTGATGACTCACTAACACTATCGTAAACAACTATTAAGAATGCGCGTATAACACAGCTAACCCGTACGAGCGCCGCACTACCAAGTATTATTTTCTTAACATCAATATAGCTAGATCATTATCACTAGCCTGAATTTCTTCTGATATTATTTAGAGCATTTCATTCACCATTGTATCGCTTTTTTTATGTTAGAGGAGCAGACGAGCAGACGGGTCACTTGATGGAAAGTGATCATCGCCGCCCATGAACGTCTGCAACTCAGGAGTCACAAACGCGTTGCCGGCCTTTTAGGAAGGAGTACGCTCTTATATTCTTTCCACTCATGTTCTTTTTCGCGCACCACATTTATCATTTAGTCATCATCATCATCGACAGCATTTAATAGTCTACTGCTGGACATAGTCCCATCCTTAGAAAGGAGGTTTTATCATTACCATAGAAGGATATTTTTAACTTATGAATTTGATACTAGCTGATCTACCAAACACCTCATATAAAAACTAAATACCCTCCAATTAAGTATAAACACAAATAAATTGGAGTACAATAAAGGTAATTCGGTTTGAAAGAGCGCGGTGAAGCGCGCTCGACGCTTGTCGAACAAATTATCTGGCGTGTGTGGAGGGCTTTAGAGGGCTCTTGACATACTTCCCGCCTGTCCAGATTAATTGTTGAATGGATGACGTCATATTTGTCAGTGACCTCTCTGGATTTTCATGTGCTCGGTAAATTACTTCCTAGGCTGACAATCATTAAGGAATTTGGATTATTATCCTGCCGATTTGCAATCAGAATGCTACTGTTAGCAGTTTATTCGTTGCCTTTCACCGAGTTAGGTCCTGGAGCTGAACCTCTCCCTCCTCTTCTAATTCAAACAGCGGCAACGCCTTTGTGACTTTTGAATTACACAAACCAGCAGGTAACTCGTGTAAGAAGTCTCCGACTAGTTTCAGTTATGAAAGGTCTCACCGCGACGGTGACAGGGCCAGGGTCAGGTGTAGTCGGGCAAACCCGGGTATACACATACGAGTGCAACCGTTTATCATTAATAAGTTGTTGGGATTATACTAAGAAATTTGTTTAGTTACTGAACAAATATTTTTATCTAGTTTTTGGGACTAGGAAAACTGAAGTCAACAGATGATGAAAAAAGAATTTGAAACCTATAACGGACGAAACATTTAAGTCAAACTTAATTTGTCTTCAATATTTTTTACTTTAAAATTGAAACAGTGCCCGTATTTTCTACGGAATTCTAGTTTTCATTATGTGTTCGCAGTCTTGTTCTTAAACGAATCTGAGTCATTACAAGACACTTAGTCGTAAATGTTGTAAAAACAGCATTTAACATAATAAATATAATAAATAATTAAATATTTTTAAAACAATTCGGTGCAGTTTTTAGTTTATCCTAATTTGTATCTAATTGCTTCACTGTGATTAAATTTGTAGCTGTGTTATACATTCTGTTTTGTCGCCTATCTGTTGGATTTTTAATCGGAATAGTGCTCGAGTAATAATGCTTGTAGTATTAAACTGCCAAAAATGAACATAAAAACTGAAATCGTATTTTTTAAATATACCTTTGTCCTTGCGGTTTCAGTTTTAGATTTAGACCCTATGGCAATGTGTGACTTCTCATTTTGGTTCCAGATTTATTGCATTTTTATATCTACATTTTTACGTTTCAGTTTTGTTAAAATGGTTTTCATTCAATTTATTTTATTATTTTTATTAACAAAATCATGATAATCTAGTTTATATTTTTTCACGTTCGAATAGATGATTTAAAAAAACTTTCATATCTATAAAAATAATTATAAACGTATAATACTGTCTCGTCGAGAATCAGCCTTCATCCCATCAAATTACAATAATCATATCTGAGCATGTGTGCGTCGGCTGTTTTTACCCATCAAATTACAATAATCATATCTGAGCATGTGTGCGTCGGCTGTTTTTACCCATCAAATTACAATAATCATATCTGAGCATGTGTGCGTCGAGTTATTAGTTATTGTTTTGTATTGAGTTATTGTTTTTTCTCGGTGACTTGTGGTAACACGTCAAAAAATAATAAGATAGTTCTAGACAATGAGTTACCATAATTGATTCTTTCTAATGTTATTAACAAGTGCCAAGTAAACTGTATGTTTCAACTCCTTTATTGAATCATTCGGGAATATTTTTCTCCAAAATACATGGAGTTTGTCCAGCGCAAATAAGCAATTAGGATGCTGATGCTGATGCCCGAAATCATATTCACGTACATTCTTTGCCGCCATGAGTGGCTCATACTAATTTGTTGCTGTTAGGTCAATAAATCGACCCTTTCTTAAATTTAGTATTTGTAATCGATATTTTTTTAATTCGATTGCATGATCATCAACTTGTTATTAAGTTTTGGTGAAAAAACTATTAGAATACAAGGTGATTATTTTCTTGTTGTATCTCACCTTTGTGACTTCAATTCAACGATGTGATTATCGTCATATACTTGTCTCCTTATTTCAATATGTTTATGATTCTTGTTTCTTCTTTATTTAACTAAATCCTTACCTTATCCCTGATCTCTTGACGCATCTTCTCGCGTTCCTCCTCCATCTTGCGGTGCTTCTCCTTGCGTCGCTCCTCAGCCTCGCGGATCGCCTCCTGTCGTTCGCGTTCTGCTTCTTCTTCCTTTTCCTTATCATCACTGTCATCACCATCACCACCAACTGCACCTGTAACAATGAAATTAAAAGGTAATTTAGTAACTGCTTATAATCTGCATTCTGCGGAAATAATAATTCCAACAGACTGCTGATAAACCAACTAAATATTTCTAAATACATACATTTGATAGATAAATTACACCAAAACCAAGAACAAATGATCATGGTAATCTCACAATTATTTATCCTGGGTGAGAATCGAACCCAACTCCGTCGTGGGTTCGATTCAAGCAATCAGGGTCACTAACAACTAGACCAATAGGCCCATCAAATGAGATTTATTTATTTTAAAACCTGACTAACGTCAGATGCGAGATTCCTGCACCTGTCACATGGAGTCTTAATATTGCTTTCGGAAACTTGGTTAAGACTGCAATTAGTAGGTTGCCTAAGGCCTCATCAGCTTACAGATATCCATGCAAGTTAATTGTGATTGGACTGAGCGAAAAGCTGTTTAAGGCAATGGATAATCTGATGTCGATAGACAAACATTACAAGGATAGACGTAGCATCGCGATATCTCTAAATATCCTTCTTCATGAAAGTTATGGTCTAATTCGTATTAACAAACGCTTACTATTTAAAACATTTCACTGTGTCATTTTAGTAATCTTATCTATCTATCCTTGTGGTGACGGATTAAGAATACGGATTGTCACCACCCAAATTCATCCCGTGGGTCTCGTAAGAGCCGACTAACTACGCAGGACAACAGCACTGCAAAGAAAAGGAAAACTAGAAACAAACGTTATAATAACCCGTCTGGCCAGCGTGGTATAGTAGGCAAAAACCTCCTTTCTAAGGAGAGGCCTATGTCCAGTAGTGGACTGTTAGAGGCTGTCGATGAATCTAAAAAATATGATGACTGTTTTAATGTATTCCTGTCCAAAATATAGTAATTCAATTACCCTTAAAGCTTTACCGATACAGAGTCCTAATACTCCTCACCTTCATATATCTCTCATCAAAGAAAAACTAATTCAAAACCAATCCTCCTTCAATGCAATCGAAGGCAAATTAGAAAACACATTCGCACGAACCGCTCGGCACCGCCTCAAACCGGCTTCATCCAGTTTTAGCCGGTCGAGTAGTCGATCCAATATGGCTGCCATTCAACAATCTATTTCACGTCAATCTGAGCATTTGTCACGTCGGACGCACGCTCTGCGGTGCGCGAACGAACCCATACAATTTTCTCGAGCGTTTAAAAAAATTCCTCGTGTTGTCTATTGTCTGTGGTCGGTTAGTAAAATGTCAAAAATTTAAAAACCAAATTTTACTTAATACATTTCGTGAGGCGACGGGTCTTCTATTTGATATTCCATTAATATTAGAAACGACATGGATGTATGCATGTTTGATACTCAATCATGCCCAGAACGGCTCAGAGAACTTTGATAAATTTAGTACAGAGATAGATAGTCTGGAATAAAACAGGGTTTTTTTGTCAAGGAAAACTTGATTGCCAAAATCGACATTAAACGCGAGCGAAGTTGCGACTATAAACTAGTTGTCAATATTAATGTAACTTTGTATTTCTGTATATGTTTGAATACACTACACTTCAAGAAATGATATTAGAAAGTCGGTTATTTGTATAGAATTTACGGTTATAATCACGTGTTTGTAATGTTTTATACATAACGAGAATAACAAAACATCGAATAGTCTCGAAAATTTCTAATTAGAACTTTAAGTTAGAATAACTACGTCTAAATTGGATTTCAATGTAATGTTTACTCAAGAATTTAGTTAATAGTAAGCTTTTATCGTAGGTTACAAGTGTAGCCACGTCAAAAATTAAATTAAACTTGATTGGTTTGTTCCATTTACAACAACAATTGATTTGCTTTTGAATTTCTAATAACTAGTATAAACTAAATTTATTTTTAATAAACCGGGTAAAAAAAAGAAGTAATTACAGCATAGTAACTATGCATATTTTCTACCTACTTTTTGTTCTACTAAATATACTGCAACTAAATAAAACCAGGTCAGCTTTCAGAAGCTTCATCATCATCATCATCATCACATCAACAGCCTTTAATAGTCCACTGCTGGACATAGGCCTCTCCTTAGAAAGAAGGTTTTGGCCTACTATACCACGCTGGCCAGACGGGTTGGTATAGGGTTTGTGTCAAGTTTTCCTTCTTTTTGCAGTGCTGATGTCCTGTGTTGTTTTGCGCCCTTAGTCGGCTCTTACGACACCCACGGGATGAATTGGGGTAGTGACATTCCGTATTCTTAATCCGTCACTACGTATTCTTAATACACGTTAATTTATATTTTAAACTTAAGTAAACATATGTCACACTAGAATAAGTGTAGGTAACTAAAAGAAAAGTTTCTATAAAGAACAGCCGCCACACAAAGTTGGTTTATAATGTTTTGCATTTCACACAAGCTATGGAAAGGCACGCGCGCTCCAAACATTCCGCCCAAAAGAGTTCCACTCATTTCCATATCGGCAGACGAACAATGTCGAAGGCATCCACATTCAATAGCCAGCATAAACGAATTCCGACGCCCCGGCGTCTCAACAATTCAATTTGCCTCTCTCGCACCCCCAATAAATGATCCCTATTAAGAAAAAGACGGTCGTACATGGTATAGATACCCCGCTTGGGTAGTCAGACCGGGCTACTAATTGATCAGCCTGTGCCACTGACAGAATAATGCCATCGATTCAAATTCAATAATTTTGAAGTGTCGCGTCGCCTGCGCCGTTTTGTTTTCCCTTTTCTTTTCTCTCGCTCAGTTTTTTAATTAAATATCCAAAGAACTTTACGTTTCTCATCTTGAATATTAAACAGTTACTTTAAATTTAAATAATAATGATTTTGTTATTTGCGTTACGTTCATCGCGAGTTATGAATAAATTTTAATGTTCATTGGTTGAGTGAATGATTTTTTTTCATTTATTATGCGGTGAGAACGTCGCCTGATGTAAAGAGGTTTGAAATGCGATTGTTTTTTGTGACTTGGTATTTCTCAGGTCAACGTAATAAATATAAAATAACTGGTTTGGTCTTAAATGTAATGCTTGATATGCATATAAAGCGTTGTAACGCTACCCCTTTATATACATTTTAAGTTGTCCGACAGTCATCTATGACATAAATAGTCGTTATATAGATAAGCACTTATAATATTTTTATCTTACCTATATGTGTTTTGTTTGTTCAGTATGAATATTGATTTAATTTAATTTTACGTCAGTGAATTATGTTAACTAACCTCACGGAATATCATAAGAATGAACCTACAATTATTCTTTTTGTATTTATTTTAATCACTACTTTAACAAGCTATAAAGATTATTTTAGTCTAATCTATATGTATTATATTATATGTACTTATTTGCCATCTATGTTGTATAAACAAAACTGAAGAGAGTCCTAACATGTCTAGTATTGAATGATTCACTTACAACATGTTACTATGAAAATTGAACATCATAATAGAATGTGTAGCTCGCGATTCACACACAGTACGGCTTCCTCATAATTTAATTGATATTCTAGTCCCGACTATGTCAGACTTAGACTCGGCTCGACGGCAAACTAGACTCGGTTGGGACAACTTTGTTGATTTATAGTTGATTTGTGAGACTTAGTTATACAATTAGTGGAGATTTTGATTGGTTTGTGTAAATCATTAAAAGCTACAACGAACTAAACAAACAGGTCTCAAACAGCAATGTATGTGGTGAAATATTTAAACAAAAATATATTTGAGTTCATTCTTGTATCATTTGTTTTGTGTCTGAGTAATTTATTTATATATAAGTATGTTTATCAGCAGTCTAGTTATCATAGTACAGGCTCTGCCTAGTTTATGATCGGACGGCCGTGTGTGACATGTGAGGTCATTTATTAATGGAAATTTTGCATACACATTATCATGGATATAGAAAAGAACGCTACATACCTCCCATCCTGTTCCTAGGCAGAAAAATAACTTTTTAGACAGTCTATATTAACGCAGTCATTATAAAAATCAGTGTATATATATATGACACCTCCCAATAATCATAATATTAAGCAAAATATGTTCTCCCCTCAACATTTCTCGTTCCGTTCCAATTAGCTTTACGAGTTTGTTTGTACCGTCACTTTACTAGTAATGGATCGTTACCGGTTTACGATCATCTCTGTTTACTCCCTAAGTATTGTTTACATGTGTCATATTGAGAGGGTAAGTGGAATATGGCCAGCTATAGGGATATGGAGGCGAGATCATAACATTATTACAATCATAAAAGGTCAATATATGTGTGAGAAAGCTAGTAACATATATATTTGGGAAAGTGTAATGAGATAAGCAATAGGTATTTAAAACAATAATTAAAAATACAAATTCTTTGAATATTAGCACCTCACTATCTCCTTAAATAACTCATTTACAATTCATTTAACAAAATTGGTATTTAATCATCATCTTTTACTCACAGTTAAAATATTAAACATCCACAACTACAAGTACTTATATAAAAACAGTATTTTATTTGAATTTCGTTGAAAGCTTATTAATTTGCTATAAGAAACTGTTGCCATAATTCTCCGCCACCCCAAGGGGATCGTATATTTCGTGAGTTATAAAAAATAAACGGTTCTTTGCTACTGAATTTATATCCCGCGATGTCTTCGGTTAGGTTTAGCAAAATCTAAATTATAGTTTTGATGCTACTAGTATAAATTGGATTCCATCCACAGGTTATTATGTCGACCTATGTTGCTCGGCTGTCTCGCAATCGAATCAAATGTCAGAGATCGCGGGTTTGATTCCAGAGTAAAACAAATATTTGTACGCATGAATGTTTTGCTGGCTACAGTAGTACACACTTAACAAACATATCTTACAAAGTTTGCTTAATTTGGGTCCGAGCTTAAAAAAGATTAATAGGGAGGGTTGGCGTTCCTGCTGGACTAGTGGAAGGTGACCTTGACTTCTAAGCTAAAGTCATAGGTTCGATTCCCACCCAGGACAAATAATTGTGTGATGAGCACGATCATTTGTTGTCTGGGTGTAATTTATCTATAGTACATATTATAGATAAATACATACATATGTATTTAGAAATGTTTAAGTACGTTTACGAGCAGTCTCCCTCGTTCGGGATCAGACTGCTGTGCGTAACATGTGTTAATTTATTTTTATAGGTTACTAGGTACTGTTACTTTCGTACTCTACGGCAAGAATATCAAAAAACATTTAACGTTAAAAAGAAGATAATACTTTCTAAAAAAGATTATAGGAAATACTCCTAAAATCTTTTTTAATTATGTGTAATAACATCTCACAACTCATAAACACATTCCTTTTGAAATTGAAACCTCAGTGCGCAGGGAGTAATTAAAAAACACACAAAAGTTCCATTTATGTCCTAGTATGTAACGCGCCTGATACCTAAAAAAACCTAAATCTCCTAACCCAAATTAACTTTTACGACATACGGCACATGTCCACGTAAAAATGACCGCAAATAAAAGGCTTCCATCCCTTTGTTCATAAACATCTTGTAACTTATTATATAGAAAGATAATACATGATATGGGTCTTAATGTAATACCTTCCCTTTGACTATTGGGAGACCCAAAATTGATAAGTTAGGATAGAACTTAGCGCATGAGCGGAGCGGGAGGAATTAAACCATGCAAAGAAAAATAATAATTATTATCGAATAATATTTAATGTTGTAATTAGATCGTCAATGACTTCCAAGAAATCCGTTCGGTAGTGCCTGAATCTAATATAGACCTTCGAACTTAGTAAGGTTATCTGTCTACCTAGTTACTGGACCTCCTTTTGGTCCCTTCTGCAATCTATTCTGCGAGCTATGTGTCTGTCCACTGCCACTTCAACTTGCTGATCTAATGAACTATTTACACAATCTTGGTTTGTCTGCGAATCATCTTTGATTTGATCGATCAGGGATATCCCAAGCAGGCGATGAAAAGTAATGATTTCCTATCTATTCGATAGATGGCGCTGAATGACTGACAAGTGACAATTCAAAATAAAAAGTGTCGTTACAACTTTTCGTGAGATTTTTTTCCGTCTAGCCCCCTTTAACAACGCGCGATAAGGAACTTCGTTCCAAAAGGATAAT